TGCTTGTCTTAATTGCTGTCTCTAATTCCTCTCCGCCTGTTCTTTCTTATGTTCAAATCCAATCAGGCATTCACCTCTACCACAACAGACAAACTGCCTCTGTAAAAGTCAACCCCGTGTTGCTAATTTCAGCAGTTAGCTCTTAACTCTCATTTTATTTGTAGCATTTCACAGTTGATTATTACTTCTTCCTTGAAACATAGTCTTCTTTTGACTTCTCACTGGCCTCTTCTTTCCTTTCCTCTTCCCTCCCCCCTGCTTTTTTTTTTTTTTTCTTGAGACTGTTGCTTGGGCTAGAGTGCCGGGGCATTGTCATAGCTCACAGCTCACAGCAACCTCAAACTTCTGGGTTCCAGCGATCCTCCTGCCTCAACCTCTTGAGTAGCTGGAACTACGGGCATGCACCACCACACCTGGCTAATTTTCCTATTTGTAGTAGATACAGAATCTCACTCTTGCTTAGGCTGGTCTCGAACTCCTGAGCTCAAGTGATCCTCCTGCCTCGGTCTCCCAGAGTGCTAGAATTACAGGCATGAGCCACCACGCCTGGGCTCCTTCTTTCTATTTTACAAACTTCTTATTGTAAGCAGAAGGGAACACAAATCATAATTGTACATACAGCTTGATGAATTTTCACAGAGTGAAAATTATTATTGTTACCAACACCTGTTTTGAACTGAAAGTTCAAAACAGAACTTTGTCTTGTTTGTGGTAGCCTGAATAATGGCCCCCAAACACATGCAGGTCCTAATCCCTAGAACCTGTGAATGTCACCTTATATGGCAAATGTGGCAAATGTCACCTTATATGGCAAAAAACCTTATATTTGCAGATGTGGTTAGGCTGCCACATAAATTAAGAAAATATGTAATGGTTTTGTTAAGAATTTTCAAGCAGTTGTTCACCATTTCAGAAAAATTATATCACCAATCAATTCACCATCAATTATTTCACCAATCAATTTCATATTTGAAACACCTGTACAATACTGCTTTATTAGTATATTTTTAGCTCTTTCTTTCTAACTACTTCATTATGCCATCAAATGTATATATTCTTGATAATTTTCATACTTAAAAACATATTGTATTAAACTTTTTATCACATAGAATAAGGTATTATTTGATTCTTAAATCAAATTTTTAAAAGTTGTATGTTCAGCTAAGTTATAGTATCTATTATTATCATTTTTAAAGAGCAAAAGAGCATTTAAGATAGCACTTATAAAAGTGATAACTGGGTCTGATCCAGACTATCTAAATTGTCTTTTCTGGAGGAATTACTAGGCTTAGTAATATGCTATTTACATTTTCTCATATTTTTGTGGTAAATAAAAATAATGCATGCTTGCTGTGAAACATGAAGAGTAGATACTGTATTTTGTGTAATGTTAAAAGTAAAACTCCTAGGCCGGGCGCGGTGGCTCACGCCTGTAATCCTAGCACTTTGGGAGGCCGAGGCGGGCGGATTGCTCAAGGTCAGGAGTTCGAAACCAGCCTGAGCGAGACCCCGTCTCTACCAAAAATAGAAATAAATTAATTGACCAACTAAAAATATATATACAAAAAATTAGCCGGGCATGGTGGCGCATGCCTGTAGTCCCAGCTACTCGGGAGGCTGAGGCAGGAGGATCGCTGAGCCCCGGAGATTGAGGTTGCTGTGAGCCAGGCTGACGCCACGGCACTCACTCTAGCCTGGGCAACAAAGTGAGACTCTGTCTCAAAAAAAAAAAAAAAAAAGTAAAACTCCTCCTCATCTCCACAGAAGTGGCCACTGTGCACAATAATTTTTATGAATTTTTCCAGTAAATGAAACACACATGGCACTGTATACGCACATATACAAAACACTATAACTTTTTTTTTCTGGAATGTGATAAATATACTATTCTGACTACCCTTTTCTTTAGATTTATCTTCCAGATTATGTATTTAGATTGCTGCACAGTTTTGGATGATGTCTTTATATTTCATTTTTTGTATACCTCTGAAAATGAGGTTATTTTTCCAATATAGTTTATAAAATGTTACTTTTGATATATTAGAAAGATATTAATGTTATAGAAATATAATGGATAGAACAATAAAAAAGAAAACCAGCATGGAGACATAAGACTTCTACAGTGCTATAAACCAAGACATAACGGACATCTGTAGAACACTATACTACAGCAGAAGACATGTTTTTCACAAGTGTACAAAGAACACTCTCTAGGATAGAGCATATGTACTTTAAGCAATAAAACAATCTCAATAAATTTAAAAGGATTAAAATTATACAAAGTATGTTCTACAACCACATTGAAATGAAATTGGATATAAAAAATAGGAGGGCCAGGTACAATCGCTAATGCCTTTAATCCCAGCTACTCAGGCCACATTGCTTTAAATAACATCAATAATAAGGTAGGGGGATCACTTGAGGCCAGGAGTTTGAGACCAGCCTGGTCAACATAGCAAGGCCTCATCTATTAAAAAAAAAATTAAAAATACAAAAAAAAAAAGAAAAACAAAATAGAAGGACATTTGGGAAATTAGAAAATATATGAAAGTTAAACATAACTGAGTCAAAGAAGAAATCACAAGAAAAATTGGAAAAAAACTTTGAGATTACTGAAAACGAACATACAAAAAAAACTTATGCAGTGGTAGTATGGTTCAGCAGGAAACACAACTGTAAACACCAAAGTTAAAAAGAGTTCTCAAATAACCTAAGCTCCCACCTTAAGAAAATAGGAGAAGAACAAGTTAAGCCCAAAGCAAGCATAATAATGAAAATAATAAAGATTAGAGTGGAAATAATGAAATAGAAAATAGAAAAATAATAAACAAATCAAATCAATGAAAATAAAATTGGTTCTTTGAAAAGATCAACAAAATTCATAAACATTAAGCTAGACCAAGAAAAAGAGAGAAGACTCAAATAACTAAAATCAGGAACGAAATAGGATACATTATTAACAATTTTACAGAAAATTTTTTTTTAAGTATTATAAGGGATACTGTGAAGAGTGTATGCGAACAAATTAGGTAACCTAGATGAAATGGACATTTCTGACTACATCTGCTTTCTTTGCAGATGCAGAGAAATAGGGAGTCTTTTCTCCATCTTATCTTGCAAAGTCCTTTTTTAGAAATTTAAAAGGCCTATAACTTTTAAGGACAATGTTTCAACACTTGTGAAAAGAAGAGAAAAAATAAAACAAGCAAAAAAGAACAATGTGAACACCCTTCATATACTGGTATGGAAATATCTCTAGTATCTAGTGTTAAATAAAACACATAAAGTACAGAATTGTGAATACATTGTGCTACCTTTGGATAAATAAAGGGAGAAATACTAATATATATTTGTCTTACAAATATACAAAAGCCACTCAATTTAGTTATCTGTGAGGCAGGGTATAGGTGGGGATAAAGTACTCACTGCTTAACTTGTCATATCATTTTGTTTTTGTGACATATTCATTTTCTGTTCTAGATAAATAAAAATTTTAAAAATTAATTGCATTGCTTTATTATTTATTTTGAGACAGAGTCTCACTCTGTTGCCTGGGCTAGAGTGCCGTGGTGTCAGCCTAGCTGACAGCAACCTCAAACTCTTGGGATCAAGCAATCCTTCTGCATCAGCCTCCTGAGTAGCTGGGACTACGGGCATGCGCCACCATGTTCAGCTATTTTTTTCTATATATTTTTAGTTGGCCAATTAATTTCTTTCTATTTTTTTTTTTTTTTTTAGTAGAGACAGGGTCTCGCTCTTGTTCAGGCTGACCTTGAGTGATCCGCCTGCTTTGGCCTCCCAGAGTGCTAGGATTACAGGCATGAGCCACCGCGCCTAGCCGCATTGCTTTAAATAACGTCAATAATTTTTCAAGATTGTGAGCCAGGGTTCCATTGGATCTTTGGAGATATCTCCAGTGTGTCTACTATGTGCCAGACAGGACACAAAACTAGGGATATAGCAATGAACAAAACAATCACTGGCCCTTGCCCTCATGGAGCTAACATTCTAGAGGGGAAGACAGAAAATAAACAATAGTTGTAATAAACAAAGTATACAGGTGATCCCCAGGTTATGGACAAGATACTTTACAGAGAACATCTTTAGGTCACATTTGCATATAATTCAGATCCCAATGAACAGCACGTATATGGTAATAACAACAATACTACAATAGCTCATATGTGGTAATAATAATACAATATAATAATAATAATATCATGTTTCCCCAAAAATAAGACCTACCCATAAAATAAGCCCCAGCAGGATTTCTCTGCATTTGCGCAATAGAAGCCCCATCCGGAAAATCAGCCCTAGTGACGGGCGTGGCCACGCAGCGCATCTGCACAGCCCACGCCTGTCTCCGGGGAGCCGGAAAGGCAACGAGCAGCCCTTCTCATCCGCCCAGTGAGAGCTCTGTGGCTCCACGTGAGAGATCCGCCGATGATTCTAAAGGAAATAGAGTGGCAAGAAATTCATGATGGAATTCGGGGTTTGGAGAGTGATGATGATGCTCCAGAAGAAGACGACTTGACTATATTTGAATCAATGTAGATTGTACCGTACTTAAAAAAATTAACACATCCCCTGAAAATAAGCCCTAGGGTGTCTTCTTGAGGCAAAACAAATATAAGACCCTGTCTAGTTTTCAGGGAAACACAGTAGTAATAATGCCCCTGTACTGTAATAATAAGTTACAGTTTCTTTCTTTTGATTCAAACAAACAGAACACAAAAACAAACTCACACAAAACGTTTAGATAGGAGATAGCTAGCCCGGACAGAACGAAATGTCCCCACCTCCCGAGCCCCGATTTCCCCAGGCGAAGAATGGACAGTCCCTGCCACTTGGTTCCCGCACCCCCAACCCCCAAGCTGTGCCCACCGCAAAGAGGCGGGTCTGAGACCACACTCTGTCCTCCAGCGCCATCCACACACAGGAAAAGGTGCACAGGGTCATCCACTCCTCCTGCCCTGGGTTATAGTGGAAAACTACATTACCCAGAAGGTTGTGCATCGCGCGAGCGGCGGGCGCTGAGCCAATGACGGCCCGGAACAGTGCCGTTTCCTGCGGCCCCCTCGGGCGTGGGCGGGACTTCCGTGTGGTTTGCCGCCGACGCCATTTTCCCTTCGCTTGGTGTGGGGGGATGGTGAGTTGCTGAGGAGCCGGGTCGGAGCCGCGTTCCAGGCTTGTCGTGACGACCGAGTAGGGAAGGAGAATACGGATTCCCGCCGCACCTTGTACGAGCCAGACCCCGTGTGGCGGGGTGTTCCCTGGCCGCCCGCCGGGCCGCGGGCTCTCCTCACCTGCCTTTCGGCCCCGCAGTTGCCAAGGGCGGCGCCCTGGGCCTCGTATGCGGCCCCGAGTGTGGCCGTCAACCGCGGCCGCCGGGCCAGGGCAGGGCACCGGCAGGGGGTCAGCCGAGCCGCCCCGGCGCTCGTCTCTCCTAGCCCTGCGCGGCTCACAGGGTCCGGGGATGGCAGCGGGGGTGCCGTCGCTGACGGGCCAGACGCAGGTGAGTGGACGGTGGTTTCACGATTGCCGCTCCCCTGCCGGGCGGAGCCGGTTCTAGAAGCGGGGGGCAGCCGAGGATTTATGTCTGGAGTTTTTCGGTTTGGCATGCGGAGCTGGTTTGCTGGTTTATTTATCCCCAACCCTAAAGGGGTTAGCATCTGGAAGAAGCTTGGTAAATTGTGGAAAGAATGAATGGTGGCCGGGCGCGATGGCTCACGCCTGTCACCCTAGCACTCTGGGAGGATCGCTCAAAGTCATGAGTTCGAAACCAGCCTGAGCAAGAGCGAGACCCCATTTCTACTAAAAAAGTAGAAAGAAATTAATTGGCCAACTAAAGATATATCGAAAAAATTAGCCGGGCATGGTGGCGCATGCCTGTAGTCCCAGCTACTCGGGAGGCTGAGGCAGGAGGATCGCTTGAGCCCAGGAGTTTGAGGTTGCTGTGAGCTAGGCTGACGCCACGGCACTCACTCTAGCCTGTGCAACAGAGTGAGACTCTGTCTCAATTTAAAAAAAAAAAAAAGAATGAATGGTGCTTCCTTCGGAAGCTCCCATCATAAAAGCAGCATGCAAGCATCCATCCTGGTCGACCAGACCTCATTCCAACGGGGCATTGGAGGGTTTTGAGAGCAGGGCATTCCAGGCCTCTGAGAGAAGTGCGTGGACAGAGGCAAAGTATATTGTCTGTTGAAGGAGTCCTAGGAGGGTCTGTGAGGTTGCCACGGTTCCCTCTGGCTACTGAGACAGAGAGGGCACGGTCACGTGGTCTTTTCCTGTATGTTTCACCTTTTCTTCAGCTAGTACAGACCAGTCAAAGGCCCTTATTCTCGTCGCCACAGCCTGCGTTATTCTTGGCCAGTTGTATTCTCTGGTCCTAAAGTATCCTGGCCTCAGAGACAAGTGCAGTCAGGACTCAGCAAAGAGAAAAGAGACGAGTGGTTTATTGTGGAATTTCCTGAGGGCCTAAGAGGCCCAGGTAGGGTGCAGAGAGTGTGGGAAGCTGGTCTGGGCCCTGTCATTCCCCAAGTAGAAGCTACCCCTTCTGGTGCTTTTCTTGTGAGATCAGTGATGAGGGCTCAGTTTCTTTTGTCCCTGTGCACAGGTATGTTTTCAGCGGTAACTGAGATAGATTTAATAGCAAAAAATGAGAGGAAATGCTTTATAAGGTCATTACTTTAGGTTCACTCTGATGATAAAGTGTCAAGTTACACTATTAGACTCTGGTCCAGAGTTAGCCCCTATGCAGATCCTCTAGTGGTAAGACGTGTGACTCTGGGTGAGTTGGTAAAGCTTCTTTAACCTAAAGTCACTGTGACTCGAAGATGATGGTGTTGATCTCAGGGATTGTGGGAGGATTAATAAAAATCCCAGAACACACAAAGCATTGAATAATTTTCCTTCCTTTCTTTCTTTTTTTTCTTTCTTCCTTTTCTTTTTTTCCCTCCCTCCCTTCCTTCCTTCCTTCCTTCCTTCCTAAAGAACTCTCCATCTAGTCTGGTACTTCAGGGTGAGGAGCAGACCTTGGAATGAAGCTGCTCCCATCCACCCAAATTGAAAGCTCTTACATAACCTGGAAACCAAGAGCATGTCACGCTATGCTGCCATGGAAGCTTTACTCAATAGCAAGTCAAAACCTAGTATTGGCTGGGCGTGGTGGCTCACGCCTGTAATCCTAGCACTCAGGGAGGCCAAGGCGGATGGACCACTCAAGGTCAGAAGTTCGAAACCAGCCTGAGCAAGACCATCT